TCGGGACTATTTCCTGGCCACGGCAATGTCTTGATTCTGCTCTGCTGAAGAAATTCTATCACTTTTTTGGCTTTATGACACGGAGCCCCATCGTGCATAAAAATTACATCCCCCTTTGGAAACTATGTCTTAATTTGGGGCATTAACCTATTTTGTAGCACTTTAATATATTGTACATGATTCATGGTGCCTTCTACGATGTACAACATTCCCGGTCCGTGTATTGACATGACACTCCACACCATAACAGACGTTGGATGCTTGACACTCTGGCTAACACACTCTGCCTTGAACTCTTCTCCTGGTCTTCTTCGAACATATTGGCTCTGTTCTTCCACCACCAAAAAGATGGATTCATCGCTAAAACATACCTGGATATAATATATATACAAATGAGTACACAGAAACACTTTGCAAAAAATTACAGATAAAATTTGAGAGATTCTTTAGAAAAAAAAATTGCCTAAATTTTTTTAGAACTCATCTTCATATTTAAAATAAATTTTGATATCAAATGTTAAGTGAAAACTCTTAAAATGACTTTGAATACAATTTTTGCATACATTTTACCTTACTCCAGTCATAGATAGACATGTTTTCATAAATTTTAGCCCATTCTAGCCTCTTTTTAGCCATCGCTGGTGTAACCTTTTGTTTTTTTCGTGGACGACGACTTTTCAAACCACTTTCAAAAAGCCTTCTCCGAACAGTTACTGGAGAAACATCGACTCCTGCTTCATTAAGTTGTTGACACAACACCTTAGATGTGGCTCTTCAGTTATTAAGTGCCATTTTAACCAGATTTCTTTGTGTCCTTGGGGTTATTTTTTTTTTACGACCACAATTCCCTATTATGTGGTGCTCATATGGCTCTTGATTATCAACACATTTTTTTATTCTGCTTACTGTTTTCTGACTTACACCAACTTTTAAAGCTATTTGAGTTTGTGTGTAAACCTTTTCACCCAACAAAGTTTTTACAGCAGAATATTTTTGGGGGGAAATATCATTTTTTTTGCCCATTGTTAAAATAAAATAATTTCACCAGTTTTACTGTACAATTCCTAAACAAAAACAATTTATTAGTAAATTTGAATTAAGTTTTTATACATAAAGTAATTTTGTAAAGAAAATAAATTAAAAGTAATTAAAATTACTTTAAAATGACACCCAAACAACTGCTGCAACGTTTTGCTACTAAAGGAAAAAAAACATGCGCTGACTTGCCTCCCAATATTGAAAACGCTCAAACAAAAAAAAAGTGACGTTGCCAAATATAAAAAGTATGTAAAAACATTAGAAAAATGTCATATTTTATACTTAAAATCTTTTAACTGTGATACTTGTGAAAATGTAATAGATATTTGAACTCAATCACGGAAAATAATTTTCTTAAATCTATAATCTAATAATTTGAACACGTCTGTATATATAAATATATATATATCGAACATCGCATTAGCAATAAATTTGTAAAAATTTTAATAAAAATCACAATTCAAATCATTTTTTATTCTTGACATGTTTCGTAGTCTTACTACATTTTCAAAAGATTTAATTTACAATTAAAACTCTGGTAAATAAATTTAAAAACTGAAGACAATACAGAGAAAAAAATAAACTTGTTACAAACCAATTAAAAATTGTATTACAAATTATGACAAAATAAACTTCCTAATATTAAAATATTAATAATAATAATAATAATAATAGCAATAATAATAATAATAATAATAATAATAATAATAATAATAATAATAATAATAATAATAATAATAATAATAATAATAATAATAATAATAATAATAGTGAGTGTGTATTTATATAAATATTGTTGCCAATATTTATATATAAACGAGTTACCTTGTCTTTCTTTTTATACTTATATAGTAATTCCCCACCTTCCGAAATCATAAACTTTAAGGCTTTTTTTCTAATGACTCTTTTTTCGCCTTCTAGACTTCCATCAGGGTATTGCTTTTTACTTAAATAAGTAAAAACTTTTTAAACAAGGTCGTCTTCCATGATAATTTAAAAGATATATGCGCACATGCATAACACGGACTAATTTTTTCTAGCTCAGACCAATTTTTTCAGAAAAAAATTATCCGGCCGGATATATATTTTCTGAGAAATTTAGTCCGGGGTCATTTTTATCGGCGGACCAAAATTATCGTGACAGTTCATCAGGTTCATTATCATACATAACATAAAATGTGGTTCGTTTCCACTTATTTGATCAGTTTGTACTACTTGTGCACATTCCAAAGATACTCTAAGAGAATTTTTTTCACTAACACGATGTTGAAAAGAAATACTTACAAAATCGGATGGATTATTAAAAATTTTTAATTAAGAATGTTTATTACCTTTTTTTTTTGTTTTTAACAGCCACATAACGTAATACACGAGGTTTAAAATTATTACTAAAATTACTTAAAGATTGATTGGCATTAAATTTGCTCAAATGTTTTGTCACATTCCATATCGGAGATGACAAAATAAAGATTAAGTTGAGGAAGAAGTAATTTTAATTTTTAAGATTCTTCTATATTAAAAACTTTTCTACAGCTTTTTCCAATGAAATCCATGCTTTTATATTTAAACTTATGTTATTAATAGCTTAATTTTCTTTTTGGTAAAGTTAAACTTCTTTATTTATACTTTGCTATAAGACACATAGCTTTATCCTTTTTGAGAACTTTTTTCCTTTAACCATACTTGTTTTTTATCATTGGTTTTTGAACAACCAAGTAATTCTTTTTTTACTTTATCAGTATTTCTTACTATTTAGTCATTCTTATGTTTGATTCTGAGACCACATTGTCAAAACCTAGAAAGTTTGAATATTTGCATTTGGTTTTATGCGTACCATTAAATTACAATGCCAACTTGCTATTTTTGCAATGCTTCTTTCTGATGTCATCAACTAGTTGATTTGTCTTTATTGCTAATAATTTTTACAGCAAAGCAGATGAACATTACACAAAACATAGAATAAACAGCATTGCATGAGATACCTTTCAATGTTAAATACCAGTAATAAATTTCTTTATTAAGCATTTTATCTAAATAAATATACAATTTTCCAGAAGTCAAGCCAAATAAATATATAAATTTTAAACAGTTAATTACATTAACTGTTTTAAATTTAAATATTTTAAACAGTTAATGTAAATTATGTAATACAATTACATTCTAATTTTCAAAATTTAAAAGCAGTTTAGTTGTTTGCATATCAAAACAATACAAACACTTTTTAAATAACATACACAATGTTATATATGCAATTTACAGTGTAACTTACAAAATGATAAAACTTACTGATAAATTTCCTAATGATTTAATTGAATTTAAAATGAAAGTAATTACATTTGTACACAATACTATGTAACTACAAAACTTTCAATGAGTGTCTTTCATTGAAACACATTCATTGAAATTTTCAAGGATTTTGTATAAAAAACAATGAAGTACAAGATTATTTTATAAGAAATGCAAATAATTATCACTTAAAAAACCAGAACAAGGAAAGCGGACTTAAGTCTATCTTTTACAATGGGATAAAGTTGTACAACAAATTGCCAAATCAATTTAAATCTCTTGAACATAAAGGGATTCAAGAATTAAGTCATGAAGCTTTTAAAAGCAAAAGCATGTCTTTAACAAAAGACATATAGTGTTATGTACTATTTTTACAATGATTTTAAATCTACTATAAAACTAAAAAAAAATTATTTTAGTAACCCTTCTTTTGAATGTAGGTAATAAAAAAACCTATACAACAATTAAAGCTAGATATATCACCCTAATTATTCTATTTCTATATTTTTAAACAAGTAAAGACCATCTACGTGCACATTTTTTTTTTACATAAAAAAAAATAGTCTTAACGCACATATCTTTGAGTGCGCTAGTAAAACGGGGGCAATTTTACAAATCACCAGTTGAAAAAAAAAAGCCACCCTAATTAACCATTAGAAAAAAAAATTAAAAATACACACATATTATTGATAAATAGTTGCAGAACCTACTTTCATGTGAAGACGGATAAATTATCTAATTTAACTTGTATTTTAACAAAGTTGAATCATTTAAAAGTAAATAACTTTTTTCAACTTTACGTAAAGCTGAGCAATTACCCGAATGAAAGCAATTGCTTTATTTTTATTCATCCGACCTATTGCAATTTATTGCCTTAATAACTTTATAATAGCCTTACGTTACCAAAGAATAATTAAATAAGTTTTGATGTTTTATATTGCGGTATCGATTGTTTTTGTAATTGTAATAATTATAAACTATACTTAAACAAAAACCAGATTTATTTCAAAATTAATTTTTTTTATGAATAAAAGGCATATAAAACGTTTATGAATATGACTTAGGTGCATTGTCAAGTATTTCCATTTATGAAGTACATACTTCAATACTCAGTTACCCTGTAAAATAAAATTTTTATAAAAATAGTTGAGCCAAAAGGACTTCAGTTTTCCTTAATCCAGCATTATTTGCATGAGTAATTAAAATTGGTATACATAATTGGATTTCAAGCAAATATGTTAATTTTTTCTTATACTTCTTAACAAAAATAATTATAATTATGCGAGCCATGAAGTATAAGAGTTATAAGTATTTCATGAGTACATTACTCAAGATTTTTTATTTCATATTTCATTTTTTCATAATTTAAATTGTAATAACTTTTTAATTCCTTGTTTTTCAAATATATCTATGTATCAAATATAACGCAAATATAACAAGTTACATATTGTGGTTACATTAGGCCAGGTGAATAAAAAAAAAAGCACTTACTTTTACTCAGTAATTAGTCAGCTTTACGTAAATAAAAACCTCACAAAAATTTTTTAAATTTTTATTTACGTAAAGCTGACCAGTTATTGAGTAAAAGCAATTGCTTTTTTTTAATTACCCGGCCTATTGCTACGTATTTATTTATTATGTAACTTTTTAAATAATTTTATTAAATAACTGGTTCAACTCTTCAAACAGTTGTTGTATTTTTATAATTCTTAGCGATCTGGGATTAAAATAAAAAATTTATTAATGCGTAAACTGTTGCATACTGGAAATTTTTTGCTAGTCTTTGCAAATCAATTGCGATTTACAAAAGTTTAAAAATTTGATATGAATTTCAAGCTAGTTTTACAACGTATAATTTACAGCGAAGGGATGAATCCACTCAAACTTTCTGTTATTTTTTCTTTAACATTCATATTTGTAAGTTCTATGTTCTAATAATATATCATGGAAGTCTAGTTTAATTTTTGTACGATGACAAAATATTATTACTAACTTATACTAGACTTTTATTTTATATTTAATTAAACTGACTGTATTTATTTAAACTGACTTTTTTTTTTGAAAAACTTTTTCTTTCTGAAAAAATTACAACTTAAATATAAATTTTTTTTATAAAAAACGTTGTGTTGTTTTATTACCAAATTTAAATTATAATGTTTTATTTCTAAGTAGCTTTATATTTTTTACAACTTATCGTAGTTAAAGAGAGATCCCAACGACTTGCATTTCTCAAATACAAAAATTTACATTTTTAAACTTAAATTTTGTGTGTTTTCTGTTTTAAACTTAAATTTTGTGTGTATTACTGTTTTATACTTTTAAAAAGTAGAACTTAAACTTTTCTTTTATAATATATTATTTTTTTATAATTTTTTTTTTAACCAATGCATCAAGCAAAACAAAACTACCACTAAAATAAGTAAAACGCGACGGGGTAACGTCATAAAAACAGCTGAAACAGATGTGTAAAGTATTTACATTCCAAAAATGTCTCTTTTATTCGAAAGTAAAAAGACTTCTTGTTTACAGCATTAAAATATTCAATAAATGACAAAAAACCTCTTATTTTATCTTTCCACCAACAATAAAAGCGTTAAAATCGAAGTTTTTACATTAGTTTTCACTTATAGCAATTTACTTCCATAATCTCTGTATAGTCGTTTGAATAAATTACTAAACAGGACGTTTCAGCTTTTGTATAACTTCTGCCCCATAGTATTAAGCTAAAACTTCAAACTCGTAGATAATAAAATTAGGGGTGTCCCGGATAGCATTTTTTAATTATCCGGCCGGATATTGGGTACCCGGATATTTAACAAATATCCGGCCGGATACGGACAATGTAAGGTAAATATTACATTAAGACAAAAAATACCGTAATAACCCTTCAAAATGGCGAGTTTTATTTGGAAACTTTTTAAAATTAGTATAACTGTGATTCTATAGCTATTTGCATTCCATGTGGAAAGCAGATAAGCAGGGGGTGTAGTAGATCTGGTCAGCAGTCAAAAATCAAAGAAATATAACTGGACTTTTATCAGTTGTTATTTTTCTTTTTGATTAACAGCTACTAACTGCATGTTGTGGGTTTATTGATTTAAGTATTATATACTTGTTATTGAATGAAAATATATAAATAAATAAATCATCTTTAGTATTTAAATTCTTTTATATTACAAAACAAAATGGTGAAATAAATCCTGATCAAGTCTTCCTTGTAAAAGTTGCTCAAAAAGTTGAGTTTTTTTTTAATCACTCGATGAAAAAAAAAAGACTTTTTTAATTATTGGAAACACGAAGAGAAGTTTCAACTTCTAAAAGAGTTAACTCTTAAATTATTAGCACCTCCACCATCCTCTGTATTTTCGGAGCAATAATTTTCCAAATATGGAAATATTTACAAGAAAAAGCGATCAAGGCTGTTACCTCAACGTGGAGAAATGTTACTATTTATTCATCATAATGGAAATAAATTTATAAATGAGTGATAAACTTTTGTATAAGTAGCGTTTAGTTTTAATAGTATATGAATAATAAATTATTATTATTAATAATAATAACAATATTGAATAGAAACCATTAACATTAGATTATTTAAAAGTATAACATTTCTTGGTTTATTAAATCTTTAAATTTCTAAATAACATTTACTTGAAATATCCGGTTTATAAAAAACCGGATAATGTTATTATCCGGCCAGATAAAGAATATCGAATAATACTAACATCCGGACCGGATATCCGTCCGGATAGCTTATCCGGGACACCCCTAAATAAAATCACTAAATATTTGTAAACAAAATAAAACAACGAGCTTCGTGATTTTTAAAAAAAAATAAACCAATCAAAATGCACACAGAGTATAACGGAAACGAAAAGGTCGAAATGCTATATTTTTTTCGGATCTCTCCTTAACTACGCTGAACATATTGTTGTTTATTTATCGTTATGTTTATTATTCATTTTTATCTTACAAAGTTTTATAGAAAGCTATTCTTTTTTTTATTATAAATAAAAAGACGAAACATTGGACAGGGTTCTTGCCTAAACTTCATAGCTCAATGGGTATGATTTACTCTCATTTCAAGTAATTTGAATAACAGATAACCACTCTTTATTACCTTTGAGTAGAAAGCTACCACTGGTAGACGTATTTTGTTGAAGTGGGAATAGCTGTCAACGTAATTATATTGATATACACCCATTATCTTGTCCATCAGCTTGTCCATTGCTTTGAACTTTTACATAGCAAAAACAGCAAAGTAGCTGCTTAGCTATCAGGCGAGTGGAGTTTCTCTTTTAACTATCAGGAGCGCCTTCTGCAGTTACATTTAATGCCTCAAATTCTGCATAGTTGATGTTGGGCACTCGCATTTACTTGTGATAGCTTGTGAAGTTTGATTTTTGAATCTTGTAACATAGCTTACTTTTATTAAAAAGCTGATTTCCTTAAAGTTTGGTTATCCGAGATGCTGGCAGTACTTGGTTGAATGGTCATACTTAATACTACCCTAAAACTGAATGGGATTCTTTTTGTGATTTTCTTGGTGACAATCATTTGTGCTGATTTCTTTTCTCTTTCTGCTAATAAATGCGCCTTTTAATTAATTATCTTTCTTACAATATTACATCTAAAGTGGCTTTATTTACCAACTACATAATGTTATAGTCTTGTTTGAGAAAAAGTCTTTTTTTTTTCAATCGCTTAGAACAGGTAGTTTATCTTAAATCAATTAAGATGTCACTTCTATAAGAGCTCGGGACTTTCAGTGGTTTGTGAATTTTAACTCCAACAAAACTCAGTTGTTTACAGCAACAACTTTTGCAATACTGGTAATATTTTCATACTAATGAATTGTAACCCTCTCATTAAGTCCTTAACTTCTTAACGACTTCTCGGGTTATCGTTTTCTACTGACCTTTCATGGAAACCTTTTATGTAATCTATTGCAAAGTTAACGTCAACTAAGGTCCGGGACGTACTTAAAGTTTATCTAGTACGTTTTAAGACGTACCCAAAATTATCAAAAATAAAATTGAATTTATAAAAAAGGATATATTATTTAACATATACGTTTCAACTGTAAAATATTTTTTCTACTTAACTGTAAATAAGATTAAAGTCAATAAAATTTAAGTTCTAAGGTCTTATAGGCACAAAAAAATTGCTTTCTGTCTAAAACAAACTTTGAAATTTATATAAAAATTTTCAACAGGAGGTTTAATCAAATCTTGATAAATAATATTTGATTTAATGCATCAACAAACTTCCCCAATATTATGTCGTTTTATTATTTATTTTTATAAAATTTTCAATATTCAGTTTTTTAATACTCGGTTTCTTCTGTAGAAAAAAAAAAAAAAAAAAACAACAACTGCCATACGTCTCTTTGTACATACACCCTAAAATATATCAGACTATGTCACTCAATCAAAAAGTTAAAAACATTATTCTACGAAATGATAAAACAAAACTAATCTCATTGAAAGTTATGTTACACAATTATTAGTTCTTGTAATATTTTTGTAAAAAATTCTTGTCGACTCTTCTAATAAAGAAACTTCTAAAAGTTTTGAAAACTATCTTTAAAAGAGTTTAAAAAAAAAACATAACGGCAACTTTGTTATTTTAAGGAAAAGACATGTTCAAATCCATGTTGTTTTAAATTACTAATTTGTTAATTATAACTTTATATTGATTGTAGGCTAGTTAAAAATACTAAATTTTTTATATAAAGTCATTTATTGTTTTAATTGTAACGCATCTTAACATTTTGTTGACTCACCCCCCTCTCCTTAATACTACCCAACAATTTTGAAACCCCTTCCCCCTTAAAATTGTTTTAAACGATTTTAAATGTCTATACTTTTTGCAGCTTCTTTGAGTTAATTAATTAGTATTGTTTAGAAAGAAATATCAATATTAGGAGCACAAAACATAGAGAAAACAAATATCAGTATTAGGAGAAAACAATATCAGTTAATGCAAAATACATAGAGAAAAATACATAGAGTAAACAATATCAAAATTGGGAACACAAAATTTAGAGAAATCATTATCAATATATGTAATTTTAAAAATGAAGAGAGGACTATGATATTTTTTTTATTATGATTTTTTATATAAATTCCATATAAATTTGAACAGTTCGTTATAATCTGTTTTATATAATAAAAAACTTTTAGAGATGGTACAAATATGAAAGAAAAAGCTTTTGTGTTTGTAACATCTATAAAATTTTTTTTATCGATTATTGCTTTTGCCATCTTTTATTTTTACTATCTTTAAATGTAAAAATAATATTCTTAGTTCATCTTTTTAAATTAAGTAAGTTTATGAATTAATCTGTTGTCAGATTTTGAGAAAGCAACAAAAACAAGTCTGTTGATGATTACTTGATGGCGGATTATTATTAGGAGTATGGATTATTATTAGGAGTGTTTGGGAGGATAACCTTTATGTTTTATTAGTTGAAAACCTTATTATATTTATAGTCTTTTTTCAATTAAGTTTTTAATAAGTTGAGAAACGTTTTAGCTATGTTTGTCTTGATGTTTATTGAAGGAAAAGGGAAAGGGAAGCAGTTTAAGTTGATGGCTATGTCTTTTCTAATTCCACTAAACTTAATGACTTTATTTTAAAATAGCACAGCTCAATCAAATTATTTTTACTTAAAGCAGAAATATCTAAAAATAGATATATACGATTTGGCTGAGTATCTATTGTAGTTATTTTTTTAATATTGTTTTACTTTCGTTTTCGGTAAATTAATAGTTCCGTTTAACCAATCAGTTTAAGTATTTAAAACATTACCTTTTAGTTTGTTGATGGTATGACAATGACAACTGTTTTCTCTTACTTACCAAAACTTGTAAAGGTAACTTCTATTTCTTTTAAAATTTGCTTTAATTTCCAGCATATGTTTTAACATAGTAATTCCAACATTTAGTTTTTAACATTAAAATATTTTGCATTGCTTATTTTTAACATCAAAATATTTTGTATTGCTTATTTTTAACATTATTTTGTTTATGTTTTTAGTTTTTAATAATAAGATTAGCGGTTTTATAATTTATTTTTGTTTACTAGGTTTATTACATTTTATAAGGTTTTAGATTTTTTAGATTTTAGTTTGCTACAAAATTTTAGGTAAACGTAATGTTGTAACAGTGATATATTTTGACTATGAATTGCGTAAATGTTTTTCTCTTTAGTTTTTAATCTTTGTACTTTCATTTTTATATTACTCATTCTAAAATTTACTAAAACTTTAAATAAAATAAAAAATAAAAATAACCTTTAATTTAATAAAAATAAACCAAAATTTTTTTTTTGTTGGCTTTCATTGCTCATTTTAGTTTTAGCAAAATTCAAAAGAACTCAAAATCTCTGCACAAAAGAGTAATAATAATAACTTTAAGTAATTGTAGTTTTAACTGGGTTTTTAAGACTAAAATATTTTAGGCCTTTCTTATGTCTTTCTTATGTCTAGGTCTGCTTGAACTTTCATTTCGTTGATAGGGGTACATATAATATCAGAAAGATGTTATATGTACCCCTATTTGACTTTTAGCTCCAAAAGTTACAAGAAGGGATTGGAGGTATCAATATTTTTTCTGGCATCTAGGAGTTTAAAAAGTATTGAAAAGTATTCTCTTTCAAAAGTCTATAAACACTTTTAGATATCTTGAACGCCAATAGAATGTTGTGTTTAGCGGTTTTGTGATTTTTAAAATAGGAGTCTCTTTTGGCACCTATCATTCCTGATTACAAGTATGTCCTTTGTATGAATTTAAATTTTTTTTATCAATTGTAAAGAGTATAATGAAAATAAAAGAAATAGCAAAAACTTTTAGAAGTAAAGTAAACAAAACAAACAACATTCAACAACATTCGCTTGTGTAAATATATATACTTATAAAATATATGACTAAAAAAGTATCAATACATAAAACAACAACATCAAAAAATGTATTTAAAAAATTAATAATATTTAGGAAAAATAAAAACGCTGTGATTGCCATTGACAATTAAAGTTAAAAAAAAAAGCACTAAAATAATTTTATAATTCATAAAGTTAATTTTTAAATATTAGTAAACATCTTTAGTTATCATTTTATCTAAACAATTTTTTGTGTTTATTTAATTCAATTTTATGATTTTATAATTATTTTTTATATTTTAGTCGTTTGGAGCATCTGAAGTTCAAGCAGGTAACTTTTTTAGACTAAATAGATTTGTGTAATCTGGTCACTACTTTAGTTTTTTTTTAAAAGAACTAAAATGCAAAACGCAAGCAAAAAATATAACAATAGTGAAATAATAATAATCTAATAATAATACAAAACAAAAATAAAATGTAATAAAAATAAAAAGTAATAACAATAAGTAAATGATCATATTTATTAAAATAATTTTGGTTTATTATTATTTTTTAGTTAGTTGTAACAAAGTAAAAAGTTTTAAAGTTTTACCTAGTTATATGATTTATCAACACACTAAACTGTATAAGTCAATACAAACAAACATACATATCGTGAATAAAACAAAATAAAGTAAAAATAGGTTACATAGTAAATTATATAAACGTCAATAAATACAACAAGTTGGTTATTTTTGACGTAAAAAATAAAATATAAAAAAAGTTATTTTTGACAGATTTTACAAAAACAAGATTTTCCGTGCCATTTTAAAATACTTTTTTGAACATCTTAAGACAATTTATTGACATAGTTTCATTGTCTAGAGAGTTCCATAGCGACGTTGCACTATATAACTTTTTACTTTTTATGAACTTATGTTTAGAGACTATGGGTGGGAGTACTAATTCTTTACTACACCGAAAACTTAACGGCAGGGATTTTTTAATAAAAAGATCTAACATAAAATCTGGATTTAACTATTTATAGATTTAAAAACTTCAGTTAACAAAAACTTTCAATTTCTAAGATGAATACTTGGGATATTTTCTTTTTTTTTGTGTTTTTTCTAATGGGAGATCAAATCTTTTATAGACTATGCGAAGTCCTTTTTGATGAATTTTATTAATTAGGTTACTATTATACTTCGAACAAAACATCCAAATCAAAGGACAATAGAAAAAATTTGACAATAGAAAAAACAGATTTTTAATATAATCATAAAATTTCAAATCCTTGTCAATTGTAACCCCGAGAAGTTTAACTTTAGAAAAAACCATGATTTTTACAGTTCCAACCATTAAAAATTGATAATTATAATTTTTTAAAGCCAGCTAAATAAAATTGAAATTTGTCCGCATTTGCAACCATTTTATTCAAAGTAAGCTATAAAATCGCGTTTGATGTTTCTATTTGAAGACAAGCATTAGCACTCTCTAAGTTTTTGTCACAAATAGAAAGAGTGTTGTCATCAGCATAGTTGCAGATTTTAGAGTCTTTTATAAATAAGAAAAAATCGTTGATAAAAATGTTAAAGAAAATTGGTCCCGAAATTGAGCCTTGAGATTCCATATCTAAATATTCAGAAAATGACGATCCTAGCCTTACCCTCTGTTTGCGAGCGAACAGAGGGTAAGGCTAGGATCGAGCAAGGTAAGACAATAAAAGCGAGCAAGGTAAGACAATAAAAGCTTAAGGCTATCGTAAGAAAACCCATAACCTTCCAACTTAGCTATAAGCAAATAATATGCTGAGTTATTTGCTATAAGCAAATAACTTAGCATATTATTTGCAAACTATTTATACAAGAAGTGAGGCTTCCTCTAAAATCCATGACATAAGTTTGGAATTTCTCCTCTTGTCTTCCTTTTAAATTATAAAGAATAAATAATTTTTGATGTATCATCAGGAGTATTTTGATGAAATTTAAAATTTTGAGGACATAAAAAATATTGACGATTTGTTTTTAATGTTTATAACACTGGAATAGTTTGCATATCTTATAATAGCAGACTCAACAGATACATGTACATTGCTAAGGGAAGGACAATAACTCAATATATATATATATATATATATATATATATATATATATATATATATATATATATATATATATATATATATATATATATATATATATATATATACCTTCATAAAAAATTTTAACTTTTATTTTTTTAACCAAATTAATTCTATTATATAGAGATTATTAAATGACAGATTTTTATACTAAATTTATTATCTGAGGTCAACTAGAAAAAAATATATTCAATTTTTGTAGGTGGAGAAAATAAAGTGGACATCTAAAGAAAGATACACAAGAAAATGACTTTAAAAAGTGGACTTAAAAGCATAGCTTATAAAATATTAAAAATTTACGGTAACATATATAATAAAAACTGTTTATTATATCCCACTATTATATATATTAATTATATTATTAGATAATGTTATAACTAACAATTTTCATAATAGCCGTTTTAAAACTGGTATAATCAAGACTGATTTAACTGATCATTTCCCTATATTTCTTATTACTAAGAGCGTTACTCTAAATAATGCTACCCACAAATCAACTGTATTCATGAAACAAATCAATGAAAGTTCCATATGCCAATTTAAAAATTTATTAAATAATTACGTCGATTGGAATCTTGTACTGCAATTACACGATGTAAATAATGCTTATGATTTATTTCTAAACCAGTTTTCTAAAATGAATGATAAGGCATTTCCTTTAAAAGTGAAACTAATAAACTCAAAGTCGGTTGTATCCCCATGGATGACCAAAGGCCTACTAAAATCATCAAGGAAAACACAAAAAATGTATGATAAATATTTAAAAAATAAAACTTATAAAAATGAAACTAATTACAAAAATTATAAAAATTTATTTGAAAAAACCAAAAAACGATCAAAAAAGTAAATTACTATGCTGAACTGCTAGAAAAAAACAAAGGAAACCCTCAAAAAACGTGGAGGGTTATTAGAGACTTAATTGGGATAAATAAAATTGAAAAAAATAACTTACCGCAAAAACTTATTATTGAGCGAAAATAAGTTTCTTTTATTGTAATTTCTTTTTTGTAATGTTTATTAAAGGCAAAATAAATAAATAAATAATAAAAAAAAACAAACCTAAAAAGTCTGTACCCCCACATAAAAGTGTAAGGGGACTAAGTAATTAAAATACTTTAACTTATTATTTTGTACTACATTTAAATCCATCAACAGAACAAATAATTCTTGATATTTTTAAAGTTATTTTTTTTAAGTTATTTCACGTGGTCATAAACTTTAAGCATTAAAAAATATGAATTTAAATTTAGTTTTTGATAATGAAGTTAAAAACTTACTAACTCATTAAATTAACATTTGAGACAGGGGGTTCTATCTTTTTTAGATAGTTTTTTTCCTAAGTTCTAACTACAACAATTTTTAAGCAAATCATCATTATTTGACATATAATTGAACATACTCATACTTAGAGTTTTCACAATGCCAAGTACAGTATCTGAATGTAAAATAACACTGTGTCTGCTCTTGGTTAAAATAAAAATTTTTAAAAATTAAAAGTAATAAATAAAAATGTCTACAAAATAATCAACATTAACAAAATAAAAGATAATAATGTCTAATATATTATAGCAATTTTTAAATAAACTCCAGGTCTTCAAGTATAAGATCTGCTATAACTCCTTCCTGACATATGTCAATATCTTCATCTTCATTGACTTTCCAATATCCTATTGTGTATGTAATAAATATTTTTTTTGTTGCTACCTTTTGATCAACAATTCAACCAAAAAATAAATGTATATTGACATCATCTAGCTCCCATTTATGGGGTAAGAGCTGCCCTACCAATTTTCCATTTTTTAAAATTACTCCTAAAATTTGTTTTTATTTTTCATTAATATTAAAAAAAAGAGGATTTGTAGTTTTAGCATTTTCAGCTATTTCTCTTTTAATATCCTTCTCTAGTTGCTTTTTTTCCACACAATTATTTTTAAATTAGCTTTGGCGCATCTTTTTCCAATTTTTCATAGAAAAGATTATTAAAATTTTTAGAGGCTTGACACAATCAATCTCCTCTGCAAATTGCAAATTGAATAAGGTCATTTTGTTCTGGCAATGTTTTCTCATCAAGCCATAATAATGTTTTGTCTATTCTGGCTTTTATTTTAGAATCCAGAAAACCAAAAACAGCATTAGGAGCATGACGCCAAAAAAATCAAACATGCCCAAGATCCTTTCAGCCTAAATTGTATGAGGTGGAGCAGATAGTGTGGTTTTTATGATTTCTTTAGATGGATTTGAGAGATTGACAGTCAAATACCTGGCCATGTGTCTTTTGAGAACTGTCTCTGAGTAGCTTATGAAGGCTGATAAAATCTTTACCAAAATATTTTTATTTTTTATTACACAAAGGGATTGGTGTATTTTATCTTCTTCAATATTTAATGCTTGACTAAAAATATCCACATCTGTATAAAGAATTGATTCTGGATTACTTTTGAAGTAAGCTAATTTCTTTATTGCTTTCTGGAAATGTCACCCTAATAAAAAAATGTTTGTACATTTTTTAAATTACTTTATTTATTTAATAAAAAACTTTAAAAACTTACAAACTCAAGATTACTCTTTCCTGTTGCATTTTTATAAACCAGACTCATCTATGGCCCAGTTATTATTTTTCCTATCAGGCCCAATCCTTGTAGTTGCACAAGCGTTATATCATTACTCTTATCTTGAAGTAAGAGCTGGCAAATTTTATTTTTGGTGTTGCTAGAATAACGAAAAATGTTAATACATGGAGTTCTATTAAACCAAATAATCATCTAAAAAAGAACTTACTTTTCAAGAAAGGTTTTTATAAGTCTTTCGTATGTGACAACAATCCCTGCCATATGGAGCAAGACATCAAATCTACTACCAACATATCTAAGAAATTGCCCTGGAGCAACATTGTTTTTTTTTAAGATAGCTTTTAAATGCTGCAGGTTCGCCTTTAAAACTATACCTGATTTTTAAAGGGCAAAAAAATTAAAATTTAAAATTTTCAAAACGTTGAAATAATAAAGAAACAAATGCTTACATAAAAATGAAATTAAAAAAAAAATTAAATAATGAAAGATATACATATAAAAGATTACCTTAGCTTAGAAATATTTTTGAGGACTGTTACTGCAAATGCAAATGTATTGGCAAGTTATTTTATTGCACTGAAAATATGAGTGGCACAGTCAAATCCTGTACCTCCAGCACGTTTAGCGGTTGATAAGGAAAAA